AGACTGCGGTGTGTGGTCCACTGGTGCCCGTGGCTTTTCAGGTCTCAGGCCATGGAGGCAGGTGATGAATCCAAGGAGAGCTGAGTAAGAACAAAACTGGTGTGGCGATGTGAAAACAACCCTTCAGGACAAAAGGCTTCTGCAGACACTGATCTTTTGTTCTTAAATCCCTGGGGATGTTGCATTGAAACAGGGCAGGAGCACTCATGTGATCCTTAGCGAGGCTGCCTGTGTGGTTTCCTGCCAAGGGGCAAAAATGGGTGTCTGGGCTGGGGTTCACCCTCAGGGACAGTCACCTGAATGCACATCTAAATGTAGGCAGCCATGGGTGAGCCAGGTGTCTACACCCTCACTGTGGTTAATGGAGCCTAGAGAATGATTCAGATGACCAAAGCTGAGCGTCCACTGGAAGGTGAAAGGCATAAATTTAGGAGGCCACCATCTGGAGCCGAATCCCTCCTCTGACGGCTGATAAAACCTTCACCACCTCCAAGGGTGTTCCTAATGACGATGCCTGTAAACCCAGACATGTTGTGCGTGGACAGAGGCTTTTTTCCAGCCAAAAGCTCATGGTTGCCCCCCACACATACACATTTACCCCCATCCTTCCTCAGGCTGGAGCAGCCAGGTCTACCAGGGTCTACTACGATTTCCCCTACCCCCATTATCAGGTGCAGATCAGTGTCTGGGGAGAGCATCTGTGTACGTGTGTGGTCCTCTCCCCACCTCCATCTGCCAGGGCAGGGCAGCCTCGTGCAGCTTCCCTGTTTGACCGGGTGCCAGCTGAGCCACCAGGGAGGTACATTTTCCTTGCCACTGCTGCCACATCTGATCTCTGGCTGAAAACCAGCCCTCCGCACCTCCCCTCTGAGTGCAGGTAGGTTTTGTTTGCTGAGGCGGAGGGCTGCAGAGCCTGCCTTTCTGCACTGCAGTGCCGGCAAGCACATCTCACAGGGACATTTATCCCTGCTTCTGACTTTCAGGCTTCTATTTGCTCGGAGATATGAACAGAGAGACTTTTATTTCCACAATTTAACCTGTTTAACCTTGTTTGTCTTCTAACAAATCCCATTTAAGTGCTGTTCTTTTTATTTCAGTGGCTGGCGCAGAGGAAAAAGTTCATCGGGAGAGAACTCCCTCTGCTTGTGCCAGAACTCACTGAAGGAAAACAAGCCTGGGGTTTGGGCTCCAATTATTTTCATTGCAGATTGGCCCAAAGCAGTCTCAGGGCTCTTCATTTCCCTCGTGAAGCCTGTAGGTGACATCTTACAGATGGTAGCATGGGGAAGGATGGTGGCAGGGAGCAGGTGGACATCTCCAAGCACCTTGACCCATCTCTGCCCTGCCCCACAGCCACGTTGGGGTAAGGATGGTTGGGGACAGCCCGTGTGCTGGGACCACGTGTGGTGCATCTCCATGGGACAAGTCCATCCCCAGGGAAAGGGGGACACCGAGCATTTTAGGAAGGCACCCAGCTCTGTGTTGAGCACCTGGAGCAAAGGGTTTTGGGGGCATGGTGCTCCACAGCGTGCACATCGCACTCCTACAAGGCAAGAAAAGGGGGAGAGAGTGGAGGCAGGGGAGAAAGGAGCCAGCTGCTTCATGTATGAAAAGATTTGCCAAGCTCCCATGGTTAGATTTAATAGCTGGGTGCTCTGCGCCCTGGAGAACAATGTAATTTATGTCATTCCCGCTAACGGGCTGGTTTGATGGTGAGGGCTTCACTTGAGTTGCCTAAAACGTTAACAAAGGGGAAAGCGAAAACAAACATGAACGCTGTAATAAAAATTATGAGGATTTTGGGGAGACTGCCAGGCACATTTTTCTAACGGTACAAAGTGGAAAGCGGCTCGTTTTGTCTATTCTAACTCAAAGACGTGAAGCTGGAGTTAGAAATAGAAGGAAATAATTAGGCTTCGCTTTAACTTCACAAGTTGCTGGAACATAAGTCAAGTCACCCCGTTGTGCCTGAGCAGCGGAAGCGATGGTGCATTTTTTTCACTCCAAATTAATTTCCTGTTCTTGAAAAATGACTTCTTAAGCATCCTTTTTAAAGTGCTTTGGGGATGGGAACAGGAGGGGGCAGAACGGATCCAAGGGGGCCTGTCCTTCCTCCCACGTCTCGCCAACCACAGATGTGCTCTGCAGAGGGCTGCACCATCCAGGGCTGCTGTGTCCCCATGCCATTTTGTGATGTGGAGCCGGGGGAGATGGACACCAGCAAAGCCCTGCTCCCTCCCCTGGCCACAGATGGTGACCCGATGGGAGATGTGAGATGCTCAGCATCCCTCCGCCACCCAGCCAGACCCAGGTTTGCTTGCTGGTGACGGTGGCTCTTGCCACAGAGCAGCTCCCAAGCTGTTCAGATCACCTGCTCCTGTGCTTTGAGGCTGCTGAAGCACAGAGTAAACCTGAATACTTTTAGCTGAGCTTTAAAAACACCACCTGAGCATCAACTGTGGCACAAGGACAAGCACGGGGCACACAGCAGCATGCAGCCAGCACTGTGCAAACCTGCTCCCAAGAAACATCCCTTGTGGTCAGCTGGACTATACTCTGAAACACTGAGCTACATATTTAACCAAATACATGTAACCTCACTGTCTGTCATCACTATTTCGGTGTATTTATTACTTTACTTTGGTTATCAAGCGGAATAAACCCCACTGCCTTGCAGCTGTGCTGTCTCCAGTTGTTTTCCCTGCTGATGTTGGAACAGGACGGTGAACGGGCTCTGCTGGGCCTGCACAACTCCCCGACTGCTACACCTCCCCCTGCCAGCCCCTTGTATCGGTCTCATCTTCAACTCAAACAACTCTCATTTTTCCACTGCTGGCAGCAGAAGTTTTGCCTGTCATTGATCCTTATCGGCCCCGTCTCTGACTCGCTTTGCTGTTCCTGATGTGGATGCTGCGAAATGGCACGCTAACACCTCTGCATAGTATCTCACGTGGGGGGCACAATTTACTCAGAAAGAAGCCCTGCGGTTTGCTGGTTTTCAGCTTTGCTGTCTTTTTGGAGGCTGGGTTACCAAACGCAATCGGCTGGATCCAAGCAACTTGAATTAGCATGGGACACACAGCCTGCATATAATGAATGCTTTCAAGTCATCCCTTCCCATGCATGTTTTGAGAAGGAGCTCCACCTGCCACCGTGCTATTTGTCTGGTTTTCCCAGCTGGCAGCAAAGCCGCCGGTGTTTATGAAGTTAACTGTATATTTTGCCTCCAGCCAGCCCTGCCCCGGTGCTGCTCTGCTCCAGGTCATTAACAGCTCTGTTAATCACTGCTGCCAGCCTGGTAGCAGAGCCTACCCAACTCCTCACCTCTTGCTGCATTACAATGAATCACTCCTCCCTCCCCACCCCACTTTGTCTCCTGCCTGTTTTCGTTGATAATCAGAAACATCTTTTGCCTGCTCTTGCAATTTCAGCGCCTTGAGTACCTTCACGGAGCGAGCAGGGCTGACAGATCTGACAGTGCCAGCCAGCTCCTCCGTCTGCTGGGTTTTGCTGACTAAGTCCTGGTGCCGTCAGCGCCGAGGAGGGCACGCAGCCCAGCTCCAGGCAGGGCGGGGAGCGGTGGGAAGATAAACTCCTCGGCAGCTGCCTGCAGAGCAAGTAGCGTGGCATTTAATCCAGGCACAGGAACGTATTCCCCATTCAGCACTGGTGGTGATATTTCCTATGTTTACAGCCAGGAAAACAATCCGATGGCCGTCCTCGAAGGCTCGTTGACCACTTTATCTATGTTCACAAATGTCAAAGGTAGCTCATCCCATCCCACCGCCCTGCATGATGCTTGTGCCCATGGAGATGAGGGCATCCCAAAAAGGCACACGGCACCTTCACTACCCAGCAAGCCAACCAGCAGGAGAGCTCACAAATGGCAGACTCTTAGATGCCTGCAGAATACACTCTGGAAGTGAATTTTGAATTCATGTCAAGCACTGGCACGAGGAAGTCGCTCCTAAAAAGCTGTGCTCAATCAGGGAATAGATACACCTCGTGGCCTTGCATCCAATCAGCACTGCCTGGCTGACACGAATCTCAATTAGTCACAGCAAAGCTCGCAGCAAACGTTAGACAAGCATTTGCTGAGCTGGAAGGCTTTCACTCAAAACCTGTGGTGTGGAGGAACGGGTGAGCACGTTGTCACTAGAAATTATCGCCAGCCTAAACAGGTAAGAAAGACAGAGTCTGTAAGGGCTTCCCAGAAAGTGGATTTTAACTTGAAAATATTAGAAGAGTGCAATGAAACACGAAGCCCAGCTCCTGACATCCACTGAAGGACAACCCCACCAGTAGGGAGGTCAGATGGGGAGGCCATGCTCTGCTTGTGGCCTCAGAGGAGCTTGCATCCACCTGAAAAGCACCTCCCTTCCCTTCACTGAAGACAAACTTCTTTGCAAAGTCACTTTTGCTTTGCAAAGGGGATGTGCCACTTGCTCAGGCTGCCAGGACCGGAGCTTTCCTGGTGGCAGCCTTCATCTACCCTGTCACAGACCAAACTGGAGGTGGCAGACAAGGCCTCATCACCAGGCCAGGTTATGTATGTGTCCCACAAGATGTGCTGCAGGACAGCATTCCTGCTTCCCACTTTGTGGGTTTTCCCTAATGTGCTGTTTGCAAAAGTGTGGGAAAAAGCTACTGGAAGGGCATTATCACGGCCAAGGATTCCTCTCAGCCCCTGGGGCTTCCCTAGAGAGATGTCTTGAGGGATTTGTGATAAACACAAACTTTCCCTTTCCTCATGACCAAGGCCTTTAAATGACTTGCTGCTGCTGAGACCAAAAGAGGACATTTTTCAGTGTGTCTGGTTCTCCGTTTCTTTAAATTGCCTCCCAAGTCTCACTTCACCAAAAATCAATGCAACACCCAGGATGCAGGTGCAGCCAAAGCTAAGCTGCCCATGGCTCTGCTGTGGTGCTCAAGGGTCATGGCCAGCTGCTAACAATTAAAGCTGCTAATTAATTAAATTAATCAATATTATTAATTAAATAAATGAACCTAGAGAGAAAGCACCAGTAAAAGCTAAACTGGGATCCCACCCCATAGGACCTACAGTGGCAGGCTGTAGCACTAACTAGCAGTGGTTGCCCTCAGTCTGAGCCTCCTCTTCCTCCTTGTCCAACTCAAAAACAGGTGGGTGTAGAGCAAGCTGAATTTTATTTTTTTTTATTTTTTTAATTTATTTTTCTTCCATTTTAGGAAAGAAAAAAATATGTAGAGTTTTCTTTTGTTTGTTTGCTTTTCCTTTCCTCTGGATTGCTATTCTTTCTGTGGGAAGCTTACACTCTAACTTCTCTTCTGTAGCATTTTTCCTATTGCTCACTTTCCAGCTACAAACCTCTCTATCACCAAAAGTAGGTTTTACTTTAATGAGCTTCTTCCCCATGTTTCTTCTGAGTTTTGCCTAGGGGGGAGGGGGGAAGCTTGTGCCTGTCTGTGGAGTCACTCTCTCCTCAGCCCATTTGGGATATCCTGCGCGTTTTTAAACCAGCCTGCGTTGTATCTGTAGTCTGAATAATTGGCTGTAGGAAGATATACATCCCTGGGTAAGGACTGAGGAGGCTCCCAAGGGGCTTGCTATTCATCACCATGCTGCCAAACCCACCAGCTAGTTAGCTTTTACATATCAAGTTTACAGCGCATTGCTCCATTTATTTTATTTATTTTCTTTTTATCTTATTTTTCACCCATTGCTGAAGCATTCGGTATGTAGGATCAAAATATATAAAAGGAACGTGTCCCCTCATTGCTTCCTCTTTTCCAATTCACCAGGGCAGAATACAAAAACCAAGAGAAAGTATTTTATATTCCCCCATCTATTACAGTTGCGAGCAAAAATGTGCTGTTGCACACAAACGCACCCTCCTCAGTTTATAACAGCTCTTCTTAAATAATCCTAGCCAGTTTATTAAGCCTGACCTTCTCTTTTCCTGGAATCATAAGGCTTGGCTCTATTCAGGCTGTCCTTTTCCAGGAGATTCCCCATTTGAGCACTCAAAATGCTTTGTGTCTCTCCTCACACACAGCACTAAAAGGACTGGAACACAATTGCTGTTTACCCAGCCTATTTTCGCAAGTGCAAGGCCTACAAAGCTACTTCTTACTTCACTGGGATTTTAAAGCAAGGGACGAAGGGATATCGAAGCTGCAAGTTTTTGTAACAAACAAAAATACTGCAAACTTCATTTCCTGCCTTGTTGCCTTATGGTCTCTGTGTGCTAATACCCTCAGAAGCAGGGTGGTTCAGTGCTTTCCCAAGTCCCTTTATTTTCAGTCTAATTTTTATTGTTGCTTATTGCTACCACATCTGTGTTCATCACAGGAGGGAATGTCACTTGGAAATGTGAGGCTGGGGATCTGCTGGGCCACGGAGTGCTCCTTTGGATGAGTAACTCCCTCTGAGACTTCCCATGGGCATGAAATGAGGTACTCATTTTACTTAAGAGTTTAAAGATCATTGCTTGAGAGCATGATATCAACATAGACCAGAATATCAGTAAAGAGAAGTCAAAAAACTGTGTTTTTAGATGAATTTCCCTTCAAGAGACTGTTGGGCCATTAAAAGAAAAGGATGGTGATAAAGTTTGTGTGTGTGTCCAGATAAATTACCGGTGGATCAAAGTATCAGCAGAGAAAAGGATTTCTTATTCCCAGGCTTGAGCACAATATGCATGCAGAGGTGTCTCCCTGCCCTAACAGGAAAAAGAAGCTTGAAAGGAAGGACAAGCCACCTGAGATACTTTGACCTGAGGGCCCTGAGTTTAACTAACCTTTGAGACATTCAGCCAACTGCTCATTTTTTCCAAAGGCCTTTTACAATAGCAGCACAGAAGGAAGAAGTTGGAAAAAATCAGTCTTCTTGGCTGGAAACTAACCTTGCTTTAACTGAGGATCAAGTATTACCTTCTTAAAAACATACATTACCAAGGTTATTTTACTTTTTGACAGGCTTTCAAGATAGGCCTTCAAAAGCCTGCTTTTACCATCAGCAGCTCACTGGGCCTGGCAAGAGCACGTTAAACGCTGCTGCACTGCAATCACCAGGCGGGGAGCCATGCCAAGTTTTGCTCGATTTTTAATTTAGCTCTTCTGTAGGAGTCTCAGAAAGCCCTCTGGTCTTCATGGCCCTTCAGTTAACTGCAGGAAAACCTCCTGTTCTGCACTCAAAGCTAGTTACTGTGGTCAGCACTGGAATAGCTGACACCGAGCGATCTGCAAGTGATGCCAGTAAGTTGTGCACATTGAGGGAAATGCCCCCATCCTTTGAGGAACCTGAGATACACTGGTAGAGAGATGCTGAGAAGGAGGGAAAACATCCCGTGTGCTACCCTGATACAAGGTTTGCTGTCATCTTCTGTGCCTTTGGTGACTTGTGGGTAGGCAAGTCCTGAAAACTTCCAGGCAGAGAACTGATTTCTGTGTCTTGCTTGATGCTTTCGTGAAGGACACAGGATGCTTCAGATCCGGCTTGGGTGTACAGCAGGTGTGCTGAGGGACAGGGTCCAATCATGGCCAAGCAGCGTGGCCTATGGCTTGAGTTTTGGCAGCAGTGCATGGATTTTGTCACAGGAGGAGCACACCCTTAAGAAAGCCAGTCATGAGTGGTGGTGAAAGGCCTAGAGGGCAAGGTGTATGAGGAGTGGCTGATGTCCCTTGGTTTGTTCAGCCCAGGACAGAGCAGGCTGAGGGGAGGCCTCATGGCGGCCTGCAGCTCCCTCAGGAGGGGAGCGGAGGGGCAGGCGCTGAGCTCTGCTCTCTGGGGACAGCGACAGGACCCGAGGGAACGGCATGGAGCTGGGACAGGGGAGGGTCAGGCTGGGGGCTAGGGAAAGGTTCTGCACCCAGAGGGTGGTCGGGCACTGGGACAGGCTTCCAGGGAAAGTGTCAAGGCACTGAGCCTGTCAGAGTTCAAGGAGAACTTGGACAATGCTCTTAGACACATGGGCTGATTTTGGGGTTGTCCTGTGTGGAATGAGGAGCTGGACTGCATGAACCTTGTAGATCCCTTCCAACTCGGGATATGCTGTGAAATACTCCCACAGTGCAGTATCATTTGCACTTCACAGTGCTAGAGGCCAACAGAAGCAGGGCACTGTGCTCTGGGTCATCAAGGCACTTTGCTTTTGGTGCAACTCAGAAAAATTACTGCATCAAGCATCCTAACATCCAACGCTATGGACTCTATTATCCCACAGATCCACCTTTGGCAGCATGTTTACCTCAGCCAGTGTGTGGTTGCTTCATCAATCACAAAATGGACAGAGCTGCTACAGAGTCTGTCCACACAAAGCTAGGGCAATGGGAGGTCTGCTCTAAGGGGATTAGAGGGGGATCTCTGCTTAATTAGTCTAAGAGGGCTGATCTCAGACATCTCTTACACAGAGTAAAATGAGCGACCTGGTGATCTTTGGATCAGTCAATTACTGCACACACCACAAGGTGTGATACAGACAGCTCTGGCTAAGACTTGCCCATGCAGAAGAAATGTGGTAGTCTGAAAGTAGTTTAGGCCCATAGTGATGTGTGGCTGGTCAGGAGTGATTATTCAGCATACACTGTTCTGCAGTTTGTGATGGACACCTCACATCTAGCCCTCCTCTGTGATGGAGAGTACCTGAAGGCTGTTTGTAAGGAAGATGCAGGTTTAGGTGATCACATAGGCAATTAAAATAGCTGTGTATTTCTAAACTTACTAAGTCCCAGCTGTGGTCTGCAGCAAAGCTTTGCTAAAGACGTTGAATCTAGCAGCTGCTGCAATGCTAATCCAGCTTTCTTGGTGCTTGCAGCACCACTGTTGGAGGGTACCACTCATCACCCAGCACAATTACTGTGTGGTAGACATCAGTTGTTAATGCATTTCTTTGCAGGGAGACTTGCATGCGGAGGAGAAAACAATTTTATTACCACCCTTAAGCCCAGTGAAAACCAGCTTTCATAATCTTTCTATACTCGATCAGAGATCTTTATGGATAATTTTGATATTGCCATCCAAAGTCAATGAGCAGTCAGAAACCCTTGTATTTTCCCCTGTAAGCCTACCCCTTTCTTTCCTCTTTATTCACATTTATAGGTGACAAACAGTAGCAGAAACTTTGTTGCAGATACCTGGATGAGGAAATGGGAATAGGCTTTATTTTCTATATTGTTTGTTTGGGTTTTATTTTTTATTTTTATTTTTTTGGTGGTGCGGGTATTTTTTAAACTTTAGACCAACATGCCAAAAATAAGAAAAAATGGAAAATCTTAACAGGAGGCAGCATTACAAACTTTTCCAAAAGAGGGGTCTTCAGTTCTTGGAAAACATTGCCATTTATAAGCAAGTGAGCTCTATGTATAGTTTCAGTGATCCATAGGCTCTCTGTTCATTTCTGAGAGCAGGGGATAAGCAGCTTCTGCCATCAGCGTTTGCTTCCAGAACAATTTGTTTAAGCGTGGCTGTGAAGTGCAAAGTCAAGACAAGAAATAAAAAAAAGTGAATGTATAGTAGAAGAAGGGAAGAATGTCTCTTCTAATTGAAAAAAGTTGCTTTCCGCATAGGAAAAAATTTTTTTAGCTGAACCGGGGAAAAAGATGCTCATCCAGTGGCAGAGGTAGCCCTGTTGCTATTCTTTGTCTATACTGACAAATACGATGTTTTTGCCATTTTATTTTTTCTAGACAACCCAAAGAGCTCTAAGACTGGAGTTGCCACTGCTTGATGGGGAGAAAATATTATTACTCTTCAGACTTCCTGTAAATGTGAAAAGTGAACCAGAAAATAAGCATTTTGATTTAGATGTGAAGCAGACATGGAAGACTCCTCCCCAGTTATCTCAAAGTGTGTCTCCAAGTGGATGTTGTCCTCCTGAGTGAAGGATGCCCACGTGATGGATCAACTCCCTCTTTAAAGGCAGAAATCAGGGATAATCTGAGTAAACCATCATGCATAGTGGAGCAAGTAAACAACATGCTGCAAGTGCACGCCCACACTTAATGGTCTTTAACTGTTTGAGTAAGCAAGTTCCCAGAAATAGCTGCAAATACCACCTTCATCAAGAAAGGGTGCTTGAGTTTATCTTATGAGAAGTTGCCACCTCTTAGGAAGACTTCTGGAAAATCTTGAATCTTCACAGCTGCATCTTTCCCTGGTAAATTAAGCAGAACCAGCAGAGGTATTATCTCAACACAAACCGTAATAGAAAATCAACAGGGTCACCCTCCCTGGAACAAATCTACAGTAGAGCCACACAGGAAACAATGTGAACTTCAGCTAAAATTGACTGAGAGAAACACACGGGGCTTTACAGACTCTTACCCCATTACAGCAGCACCAGCACAACTCCTGAGGCTTTGTGGAGAATTTGAGAAGAGCATTGCTCTGTTTTGCATTGAAAGTCCTCATTCGTTCACTTGCTATCAGTCAGACACGTGTGTGTCATCCTTTCTGCTTTGCAGAACCCCATCTTCTTTGATTGATCAATTACTTGTGTTCCCGTAATCAAAATCTCATACGGAAATACTGTAAAGGTTAATTTATCATTGCCTTAATTTAAGAGAGCAAGACTTAATTTAGGAGAGCAAAAGCTATTTGAAAGCTTTTCCTGTCCCAGTGTTGGTCACTGAGCCATGAGGCAGGTTATGTTTGCCTCCTCAGACCAGGCCTCTACCCCTGGGGTAGTGAAGTCCACCCCCAAGTCCCTTCCTAGGGGACCTCACTGTCAGCAAGCCCAATTTCTGCTTCTTCAGCAAGATACGCTAAGATGTACGGCTGGGAATCCTCCCTGCTGAACGGTGTCATCCTACTCTTTCCCACTCTATTTCTCAGCTCCCACCCACTGCATATAAATACATACCGCCCTCCCTAGCAGCTTCTCTGCAGATCCTTCATCCCAGCTAGTACGAGGCCGCCTGCTCCTTGCCTTCAATCCTTCCCTCACTCTTCCTCCAAGGAGAAGCAGCTTTATGCTACCAGCAGCAGAAAGACTTGCGACATCGCTTGCTCCAAGCACTGAAAAAGAGTGGGAAGAAATTGCTTCGCTCAGCAGTTTCCATTCCAGGATGAACGCTCACATGCACTGTGCAAGGTGCCTTGTGCCCAGAAGTTACTATAAATGAACTACAAAGGGCCAAAAGCATTGCCTGCGGCAGCTGAAGACTCTGGATGCCAACTTCTAACTTGCTTTGTACTGACTAAAGTGCACCCCACCCCCTCAGTAGCTTATAAATATGTCCCAAGACAGTGGTTTTAGGGTAATTTCCCTATGGTTCAAACCAGAAAGGTGCCAGATCTTAAACTATTTTAAAGAATTTTGCATATGCAGAATGATGCATCTTCCTTTGTTTTATCCTGAGAAACAACCGAACCATTTTACTTAATATACTGGATTACAGCATTTTTATTATTTTTATTTTTTTAAATGTTCTCAGCTGTAGGAGGTGTGTTTTATTTTTCTAAACTGTTATACAACAGGAAAGATAAGGTGACACGTCTCAGGTATTTGAGGATAACATTTTTCCTTTGGTTATTGAACTGTACAAGGACTCTACAAGAATGAAAAATCCATTTATGTAGAATACTTCCCATTACTGTATCAAGGTAGCTTTATATCTCTTTCAGATAGAAGAAATTTTTTGTAGAATGCTGCTTTTTGAGATCCAATTCTCTGATACAGCTGCCTTTACGTTACTGTGTTAGTGCAGGAATACTTACAGACTTGGTCAGCCATACAGGCTGTACTTCTCCCCTTGTGCTTACCACTCTCTCTATCGACCTTCATTATCAACAATCTTTCAGCTGTATGTGTTCACCTCCAGGCAGATCCATCTCCGCTCCCACCTCACTTTTCCATCCTTCAGCAGGATTCCTCTGTGGCTGCTGGACCTCTCATGCACTCCTTGGAAGAGCAGACAGGCATCGTACCCAGTTGCCTTCACCCGTGGGCACCGTACCGTGGAAAGTTTGCAATAAATTCTCAGTGATCCCCAAGCTGTTTCATATTCAAGTCAAACCAAAACGTGCGTGCTTGTAAGTACACAGAAAAAAAAAACACCTCTATCAGAGCAGGATGAAGATTTGCTGTTTTAGTGATTCCAGTACTGCACGGTGTCTGGTTCACAGGAATATTGCTCCCCTGCCACCCACTTGCAACCCAGCCTCTGAACACAGCCTCCCGTCTGAAAGTCAGCGTGGGCTGTGCCTGCTCCGTGCCCAGACAGAGCTAGAGGAACGCCAGTTCCTGCTTCCACGCCGCGTTGGTTTCGCTAGGCAAATAGGCACAAAGTCTAGCAAAGCTTGCACAGCAACAGCTCTGAAGGCTGCTAGGCAGTCCAGCCACTCAGACAGGGCTTTTATGGTCATTCTTCAAGCAAAAGTGCTGTTTAAAAATGTTAAGAGGCCACATGATGAACGTAATGTGGGAGCTGAGGCAAAGAAAAAAATAAAAATAAAAAAATCTTAGCACTATGTTAAACTCATGCAGTACTTTCTATCTGCAGTGTGAGAAGACAGAAAGTAGTGCAGCTAGATCCAGTAAGACTGATACCTGTGCAAGACAGATAAGACATTTATTTCCAATCAAAACATTTTACAAACCTTTCGCAGAGGCAGCTAGCTTCCTGCACAAGCTAAAAGTAGAAAAAAATGAAATAAAATAAGAGGATTCAGGGAAGGCATAAGAGCAAAACATTCAAAGATTTCTAGTTGTGTTTGTAAAGAACATGTTTCACCAACTTTTTTTGAACTCTTTAGAAGAGCCCAATGGATTCCTGTTGTCTCTGTATAGATATCTTCTTGGGCAAAAAGAAAAGATATTAATAAATGAACAGTATGGCAAGAACCCATCCACGTAAGCTCCCCTGGAACTGTTTTACAGAATGAATTGGTATATCAGAAGCACAAAAACAACAGTGTGTGCCAGCCCTCTATACTATCCATAGAACCAGGAGCTTTTAAGATGTGCCAGCCTCAGGCTTCGTGTTCCTTATGGCATGCATGACATGAAAGCAAGAGAGCATCAAGCACCCATCATTACTGAGAACAGCGTATTTTAGTGATACTGGCATGACCAAAATGTAACTGCTGATCAATGCCAATTAGCTAGAATAATCCTGTTAGCATTAGCTCAACTGTTCATTTATCTCTGCAATGCTAATTGTGTTTGAAGTTCTTTCTAACGCTGACTCCTTTTGTACTGCAATGAAAGCCTGCAAAAACACTCATCAATTGAACAGCTGATATAGGGAACGATCCCCTTTGTAACCCTTTGTAATCCTCAGTGTTATAAAAGTACCACTGGATACTGATTGTATCATATATTGACCAAGTTCATGCATTGTTTTAATCTGTTTTACAGGAACTATCATCCTTCTGCCATAACAAGATATGTATCTTATCAAATACCAAGTCTTGATGATTGTTGTGAGTGTATATTCCTCTAAGAAAACAAACAAGAAAACCCCAAACCTTTGCTTTGGTTCATTATCAAGCATTAACTTAAATCACAACACGCATCCATCTGTTAAAATGAAAATATATTCTTTCTTATTGCTTCTTAATTTGTACTAGAAGAGCATTTTGGCAAAAAATGCCTTGCTGAATCCCAAAATAATTGACAGCATGTTTGAAATGGCTGGGCAGCTCTTGTTATTAGCTTTGGATGAACTTTATGACCAAACCAAAATGGACAGTACAGAAAATCCAAGGGCAGTTTCATTAAATAAATTTATTTGTTAAAATAATTTAACTCCAAATACAACTGCTGAGTTTGCATTGAGTTCTATGTACAATTCTTGTTTTATTTGAAACATCAAGGTTTAAACAACTGACATTGTTACAAAACAAACTGTTGCCCCATTTTATGTTGCCAGTTGTATTAGAGCTCAACAATTATCTGTGAAATACATTAATTCACCTCTGGGAAACTCCAAATCAACAGCGTTACGCCTGGTTCCAGCACCCACTTCAGTCTTTCTTCAAACCCTGATCAAGAATTAACAGATGCACAACAATGCAGATAAAGCCTCCTGCAGTTGTCCAACATTTGCTTTTGTCGCGGAGTTTCACAATTAAAGCCTAGCCAGTGCTTGGACAGCACACTGGCAAAAAAATAAAAATAAAAATAAAAAATAAAAAACAAACATGCACAACCCCCCCCCCAACCAAATGGCTGACATCTTTAGGCAACATTCTATACAGGAAAGCAAGTACCAGTAGTTTTCCCACAGAAAAGTAATGGCAACTGTAGCACTGGGGTTAGGGAGAGGCTAGAACCAGAACAGAAGTCATCAAATTGGTTTGATGCTTTGAAGGGGGGGGCGAAAACCAACAACAACAACAAAAGCAACTACGTGTAATACTCGAGATCTGATTCCCGTTTTGTTTGTTTGCTTGGACCAGTTTCTTGTGTGCATTTTTAAGGGAAAGAGGAAACAGTTGCTATCACTATCATCGCTTAAAAGAATAAAAGTTGCAACATTATATATACATAAAAAACAAAACAAAACAACAAAACCACAATAAAACAGGAGAAATGCTGTCTTTGTAGAAAAGGACAAAGCTCTACAAGAACAGCCAAAGGAAAAAGCGGGTCTTTGGAACAAATCATAACGTTTTAAGGCATGTTATAAGAAACTTTCCAATACTATAATTGGTAATCCGATCAGGGCACAAATTAAACACCGACCAATGACTCCCACGGGGCGGCCACAAAAGCACCGTGTGGCTCACTCAGCTGCGTTTCTGCTACCCCTGGATTTTGGAAAAAATCTCTTGTCAAGTGCAACTGTCATTGATTCAAGCTCCACTACCTTCACGTTAGTGGAAATACAAATAGTGCATAACTACTTCCTCGGAATTACACCGAAAAAAAACAACACAACACTTACGCTTTTCCCCCCCGCAGTACTGCACGGTGGCATACACAGCCTAGGTTTTTGAAGACGTGAAAGTGTACTGAAAAAAGCAAGACTGGGAAAATATTGTCACTGATATTTTCTGTAAGGAATTGTACTGTGCCATTTTTCCTATGTTAGATCCGTTTCACAATATGAACTCCACATATTGTACTTTATGCCATTTTGTGGTCAATTAACAATTTCCAAGGTAAGATTTTTAATACCTCTGTAAATAATGTTGCATAACGTGCACTTTGCACCTCCAATTAAGCATTTTTGATTTTGTTTTTTTGAGTGCTTATACAGTGGATCTCATGCTGACAAGCTATTTGGCAATTTGTGCTGCTCAATAATCCATTTCCCAGTCTAGATTTCCTAAAAACTGTCACTAAAGCAAGACTTTAGCTGTTGAATTGATCTTGCTTCAGCACGGTGGCTGCCACGGCGGGCGGGGGGGAAGAGAACATTCATACCATCTAGTTTAGGCATAGAAGCTGTGGACCCAAACTAAAAGCCTACGTTTGCTATATAGTCAATGGAAAGAGGTAGGTGCCTCTAGGAGGGCGATTCGGAGCACCCCAAAACGGGCATTCAGATGCCAGAAATAAATGGTGTGAATACCTCTCGAAGAGAAAGAACAAAGCGCGGTAACAAAAGCTCCGTAAGGTAGACATTGGGGGGGGTAGGGGGGGGAAAAGGGCTACATGAACTTTCGAGTAAGGCGTCATTTTGTGTGACATCTAATGCCCTTCCAGACGTTGGCGGTGGAAAGGTTTTGAAAGCTTAAGGGCAGAGATGGCCAGTTCTCTTCCGTCAACATGATCTCCTTTGTTCACCATCCACCGAACTACAAGTTAAAACGTTAAGAACACGTATGACAAATCTGCAAAGCGTGTTGCACTTCAGTTTCCTGTGTAGAAGATGAGAGCATTTTAGGCAGTTCTGCAGATGGAGGCAAAACTCTCGAACCTAACTCCAATTACAGCATTTCTAAGGGCCATATACACACACACGTACACACTCAACACACACGCACACCCCAGCACCCCTGTTTGCACTCGTTGAAACACAAGGAACTACACTGTTACTGCACAAGATTGAAAAACTAATGAATGCATGGTGTTATTTAGACCACAGGCTCAGTGACTGTATTTTTATGGCCAATTTTACCTATAAAAGATCCAGCTCAAGACAATCTCTCCAGCATTTAAAATCTAAACATTGTGATTGAAAACTTTTCTATACTTTGATTGTAAGACTTCAGAATAGGTATTTCTGTGCCATTAGTCATGCAAATGATAAATACTTCACTGCTATGAAACTAGCAAGCCAGAGCTCGAGCATCCTTTCAAAATAAAACATTTGCTCCCACCATTTAACACTCCAATAATTGGGGAAACCTTTGAATAGTGTGTCAGGCAATTAAAGAGCCATTTCCACGCTCACCTAAGGAATTATAACTGCAACTATTTCACCTCTGAACCAAATGATTTCAGGTGGTTATCCAATTTGCGTTTTCAATATTAAAGCTACGAAAGAGCAAACGTGATTTTCAAAGGTTAGTTAGGGATCACACCAGAGAACATAGCCCTTCAAGGCAAGAAAAACTGTTGTCTTCAACAAACTTAAAAATGCAGGATGTTCATACTGTCCCATGAGGTTTCTGCAGAAGGGAACATATGGATGCAACATGGCTTAATTTTCCTTACAAGATGGTACTAGTTAAACTATTAAAGTGTTCCTTGTTAGTAAGGCTCAGCAATTTTTTTCATCACAGTTGCTTCCTCCTGGTTCAGTAAAGTGATAAATAAAGATGCTTCCTGCTTTGTAAACAGAGGGTTTGTTTGGCTTTTTGCAGACCAAAACCTGAAGCGATCCTCCATTTCTGAGCAGCAAAACAAAAGATTCAAAACATTCCCATGCCGTCCTGTTTCTTCACCTGCCACTTCTTTTCGGATCTTGCCTCTCGTTTCACACACCGATGGCAATGTCTTCTGTTTCAAGATGTGGGATAAAGTGTTGAAATAATAGCATCACTTTTTGAAAAAAATCCGAACTTATATAGGTCTCTGGTAACCTCTTCCTCTAACACTGTCAGAAGTTCAGGTGAAATCAACACATTTGACTGAACGAACTTGGCCACAAGTGATAGCGCACACCTGAAGCACAGCGGTTTGAAAGACTTGGCTCTCCTTTTGCGCTCCTGCTAGACGTCAATGGTCTTCAGAGATGATTTTCTCCACTGCTTCTGTTTCCCATTTCCAAAGGGTTTCTAACTTCTTCGGAAACGGTGGCTGTTGTTGCCGTGTGACGTGACAACGCGCGTACGCTCAACTGGAATGACCCTGTAGATCAACTGGCTATGCCATAAAACTGCAGGTGCTCAAAGGGAAAAACGGGTGAGATGTGGTCATTTAACCCAATTATATATCCAGAGTCAGTGATTGACTTCCAATGCTCAGCTCTGAGTTAATGATGCTACTTCACTACAGATGTATTTCAAGTGACCCACAAACCAGGAAGTGAAGTAGACAGTTTTACCACCTTACAAAATTTCTGCAAATCAAGTCCAGGTTAGGTCATTTTTAATGCTATTGTATATTACATGCAGAACAGCATGGATCATCTTTGTCTGGCTGTGCTGCATAGTTCATTTGTCTAACAATTTCCGCAAAGAGCTCATCCACCATTGTTTTACTTTTAGCAGAGGTCTCCATAAAAGGGCAGCCCCATTCTTCGGCTAAGGCTCTGCCTTCGTTCGACGACACTTCTCGCTCGCTTTCCAGGTCCACTTTATTACCAACCAGAATTACTGGCACTTTCTCATACCTGCAGTTTAAAAAAAAACAACAACCAAACAAAAAGAAAGCAGCAATCATTATATTTCAAAAGAAACAGCATTTGAAGATGTAAACACCTATTTATGAACACTATAGAGCCAACAAGAAAGGCAAGTTTGGACAATGTGAACATTCTACTTGGAAAAAAATGCTTTGCATGTTTTGCACCATTTTTGCCCATCTCTTTACCCAAAAACTTCCTTAAAATTCAAGGGAGTTCTTCCTCCTCTGAATGTTCTTCATCACCAGGAAACCTGCCCACTATTACCTTTTCTACGTTGTTAATCTCAGTTAGGGTGCAAGAACAGGACCGTGGTACTACCCTCTCTCCGACATTACATCTTCCTTCTCCCTGAACAGGTTTCACATTGCATTTCTTGCTTGCAATAAGGAAGATGCATCACTCCCCCTTTTCAAAGGTACATCTACCTTCATTTAATGCACATGGAAATCTCGGG